AGGTGAGAGGGACAGACGGTAGCTTGTCAGATAGTGGCTGGGTGTCTTGAGTCTAAAACTAGTCGTATGAGTTTTAACCTTGTTGGCGTATACTTGATAGGGATTGCTAAGTACTGCCCTTCTCACTCAGTAGAGAATAGATACCAGAGAAGGTTCCTTGAGAAGAGGGTCTGGTTTGTGTAGGTAAGGTAACTTAGAACTCTCTCTCTACAGTTCATCTGTAAATAATACATACTCCCCACCGCTGTAATGGAAATAATGTAATGACCTTGAACCACAAGGTCAGTCAGATGAACTGCATTTTGGCTCTTTGGGAGCCAGTTAGAGTCGTCTGGGGGATAGGTGCTACCCCAAACCAATTAATCCCTAACTTCAGAATCTCAGAATCTCAGGGATGAGAGGCAATTAATGTTTTTCAAGCTCCTCAGTGATTCCAAGTATGTAACCAAGCTTGAAAGCCCCCACTGAATGAGTTTTCTTATTCTAATTAGCAGTATGAACAGACACTAACCCTCTCTAACCTTCTCTAGACAGAGGAAAAATTTAGTTTTCTTTTTGAGTAGGAACTTCTGAAAAGGACATATAGTTCGTAGTGAACAGCTTTGGTTTCGATGTGGAACTGTGGATTTTGTCTTACCTTTACTCGAACTTCCTTTCCCTTTGGGGGGGCCACGTCTATCTCCTCCATAGTCAGTGGGGCTCCAGGCTTCCAGAGCACAGCAGCTTTGCATCTGATCACCTGGGTACAGCAGATGAGGGGAGAAAGATATTAATCATTACTAGGAAGTACTTAATTTGTCTATACTCAAGAGGAAAGTAAAGGAATGGAAAAATGTAAATATATACTGAAATTGGTGGGTCCTATAATTTAAGTTTTTCTTATGCTTTCTTCCTCTATATTTAAATTAGTCTAACAAATATCACATATTTATAGCAAAGCACATATATAAAAAAGGATGGATAGTGCTGTGGATATCACTCTATATAAATAAAACACTGATGGCCAGTGACCAGGCAGGAAGTATAGGCGGGACAAGGAGAGAGGAGAATTGGGGAAACAGGAAGAAGGAGGAGAGACACTGCAGCCACTGCCAGGACAAGCAAAATGTAAAGACGCTGGTAAGCCACCAGCCATGTGGCTAGGTATAGATTTATAAAAATGGGTTAATTTAAGATAAAAGAACAGTTAACAAGAAGCCTGCCACGGCCATACAGTTTATAAGTGATATAAGCGTCCGAGTGATTATTTTATACATGGATTGTGGGACTGCGGGGCTTGGTGGAAGCTGGAGAGAAGCCCTCCAGCAACAGGATAGATCTATCTATCTATCTATCTATCTATCTATCTATCTATCTATCTATCTATCTATCTATCTATCATCTATCTATCTTATCTATCTCTATCTCTTCTGAAACAGTCTTACTATGTAGCCCAGGCTATTCTTGAACTTATGATCCTCCTGCCTCCAACTCCCTGGGCTGCCATTACAGGCACATGCCACCAATCCTGGTTAGATGCCATGCATTTGCTATTATTATGAATGAAATTGCCCACTTACTTCAGGGTTGTGATGATATTACGGTGTGGGGACATTTATGATCCCAGGTATGAGGGACCTTGGAGTGAACCAGTGAGTTATGGCACAAAGAGTGAAGACCATCTGATGGTGGAGATCAATAAATGGGAATGCAATCATTGGAGATTGATTGATGTTGGAGAGATTGCTGATGCCAAGGCAGTTCTTAGGGGTTCTGATATCAGCCCACCATCCTTAGTATAAATGATCTTCCACTTTTATGTATTCAGTCACTGCTTTTATGTAGATGACTTGTACAAACTGTATCTATGGGACAGATTTCTCCTGAAGATTTAGACAAGCATTTATATGCTGCTTGAATGTCTTCCATGGACTGCAAACTCAACATGTCAATAGACAGACAAGCCATTCTATCTCTCATCTGTACCTTAAAGGACACAGTACACATCTACTTTCCCTGTTTCAAACATGAAAGCCAACCACTCATCCAAGACAGAAACGTGGGAAGTAGCCTTAATTTTTCTCTGTCCTTCGCTGTCCACAATCAGACATTTTCTGGAATCTGTGCCCTCCTCTTCTTTCTCGCTGCTTCTGTGTGGTCTGGAGCCCCCCACCCCCACCCCCCGTTGCCTTTCACATGAACCGCTGGAAAAGCCCTTCTGCTCCACTGGCTGGTGTTCTCATCTTCAGATGCACCCACCCTCCCCCTCACTGCATCCGTGGTCTCCCAGGCTGAAGTATTAGGAGTGATTCTTCTGCCAGTTGCTTAACCATCTTCTGGTCTCTCTGCAGTCCTGTTTCCTGTCATTTTCCGCCTCAGCCTTGCCACACAGGCTTCTCGGAGAGGATCAAATAGGAGGTCTTTTTGCCTCTGTACTTCTCTGTGGTTTCACTTGCTTACAGAGTCTTGTCCTCTGTTTCCTGGTGAGTCTCCATTTCTCAGGTAAGTTTCTCCCTCAGTGCCACCTCCTCTGGGAAGCCAGTGTAGGTCTGAAACTTCCCTGAGCTGCCACCTTCCAGATTTCTTTTGCAGTCCTTGCGCCCCTTTTAGCTAACTATCCATGCCTGTGAGGAATCCTTAAGAAGGCCTTCATCTTTGAATGGGGAAATAGGAAATAGAGTTTGTATGGTACTTACTGCAGTCATGGAAAAACCGAGAAGGGACAAGCAGATAAGTGAAGGGAAGTGGGGAGATCTTGAGATCACGTGTCCTGCAGGGGCCTAGGGGATTGACACAACCACGGCATGACATACACACACAGAGAGAGGACACCTACCTTGCCCGCAGTGCTCATGGTGACTTTCCTCTGTTCTTGTTGTAGATGGGACTGTATGGTGCCAGGAGATTCCGGGGGCGATTTTCACTGTGGAAACAATGAGAGTGTGTCAGCCTGTCAGCAATGGCAGCTCAAGGTCTGGGATCTGAGCTTTCTCTGTAGTCAAGTCAGATCATTATTAAACCACAACGTGTCAAGTCTCTGTAAATGTATACCTTCTGGTTGCATGAAAGAGGTTCCTATGAACCTATGCTGTAGGCTTCCTCGGGCAAAGAGCACAAAATGTAAAGTTTAACAGTCTCCCTCCCTTAAGTAGGATGGCCTCCTTTTAGTATCCAGTCTGTTGAGCTTTTAACTTGGAGTTTGAAATGTTCAGGTTTTGAAATTCTGCATGTAAAATAATCTTTTTTTTTTCCAAATGTAGAGATAATCGTCTTTGCCTTAAAACAAGCAACCTTGAATTTATGAACACACGTTGCAGCTGAGTATTGGGATGACTGGACAGTTTCTCTAGCAGTTTAGGTGGTCACTCAGGAAATAAACCAGCCTACAGAGGAGCGTAAGGACTGGGATCCGGCAGGGAAAAGCACGCTGTGTTCACTATGACAGTTTTGACTGAAATCCAAGGATCTTCATGAAGTCTAGAGATGAACACATTCCCAATAAGAGGCTACACAGTGCTTTTCTCTCCCAATTGAGAGGTCATATGATTTTCCTTAGTTATCTTTCTAATGTGATAGATTATATTATTTCTTATTGTGTTTATTGCATGCGTCAAACAAATCCTACTTGGATTAATTCCTTTTATACAAAAGGGACTATGAAAAACTCCATTTGCTAAACATTTCTTGAGTTTATATTCATGAGAGATACTTGTGTTAGTTGTCTTTATCATTTTTGCTTTATTATATGTTTGGTTTTGGTGTCATGGTAATACTGATATTATGGGAAAAATGAAAGTTTTCATTCTTGTAGAAGAGAGCTTATAGTATTATTGCTAATTCATTAAATGCTTAAAGAATAAAATTACTCAGATCTATATATTTCTTTGGGGGGCACTTTAAAAATTGAATTCAACTATGTTAATAATTATAGCACTATACATATGATCTCTTTCATCTTTGATAAGTTATTGTGGCTGTGATTTTTGAGAAGTGATTTCATGCATGCATGTGTGTCAGGTCCACATGTGCAGAGTTAACAGTGTTTCTTCCATTGCCCCATCGATGCCTGTGTGGCCTGTGTATGCCTCTGCTTCGTTCCTGATTTTGCTAATTTAAGTCTCTGCCTTTCTCTCAGCCTCATCAGAGCCTTGTCAAATGTGTTGCCTTAAAGAACCTGCTCATTGCTTTACTCATTTTCTAGATTGCTTGCCTGTTTTTAAGTGTGTTCGCCTCCACTGTTTCCCTTCTTATTTCCTCCCTTCTGCTTGCCTTGGTCTGATGTTACTCTTCTATTTCTGGGCCCTGAGGTGTGAGCTGGAGTTACTGATTTGCAACTTTGCTTTTCTGATGCAGTGGCTTAGTTGTGTGGTTGCCCAATTCAGCGTGGATTTAGCTGTGTCACACCAATGCTGGTGGAAATTTTTCATTTCATTCTATGTGATGCATTAAGAAAATTCCTTTGAGTCTTCTTTGCTATGTAGACTGTTTTAGAGTGTGTGATTTAGCTTTCAGTTAATTGAAGTTTTCCTTCTCTTTTTATCGTAACTTAATTCCATTGTGGTTTTTTGTTTTTTTTGTTTTTTTTGTTTTTTTGTTTTTTTGTTGTTTTGTTTTTCAAGACAGGATTTCTCTGTGTAGCTTTGTGCCTTTCCTGGAACTCACTTGGTAGCCCAGGCTGGCCTCGAACTCACAGAGATCCGCCTGGCTCTGCCTCCCGAGTGCTGGGATTAAAGGCGTGCGCCACCACCGCCCGGCTTCCATTGTGGTTTTTTAGCGCTTTCAGTATAATTTCTTTTCTTTTCTAAAAATTTGTACAGGGTACTTTGATGGCTTGGCAGCTGATGCATATTATTGACTGTGCCTTAAAAAGCATGTGTACTGTTGTAGCCTGGGCTACAGTGTTCAGTAAACATGGTGCTGTGGGTGGTGATTCTTGAGCACCCCACCTTCTTTCTGTTTAATGTTTTTAACAGTTGTTCAGAGGGAGGGGCATGCTGGTCTTCAACAAAATTATAGACTGGTGCTGGCTTGGGCAGCAATTGTACTAAAATTAGAACAATACAGAGATTAGTAAGGACCCTGTGCAAGGATGACATGAAATTCATGAAGAGTTCCATATTTTTGCATGAGGAGAAAAAGAGGATCATGTTGACATTGAGGATGAAGACAGCGATGAAAAGAATGGAGACAATGAGATTGTGGGCAGGGAAGTGACTATTGAATTTGAAGTTTATTCCATATCAGATAACAATTCTGATGCAATTAAGAAATTACTGCAGCTGCTTTTCCTGAAGGCTCCTGTGAGCACCTACAGAGATAACTGAGCTATTGATTCAGCAGAACCACATTGGGAATGTGATTAACAAAAGGATGTTTCAGATGACAATGATGATGAAATGGATGAAGATAAGATCTTTGGCTTGCTAAGTCCTTTACATTTAACTCAAAGAATGAGTACCCAGAATGCTGAAGCAATTTAAGAGTTGCTTCTAGTTAAAAAGTACGCTTTTTTGAGAACTATGAGAAGAGTGTGATTGAACAGCTGGACAGGCATTTAAAAGACACCAGCAAGCAGATTGCCAGATTTCCCCAGATTGCCCTGTCCATGCACCAGCAACTTTAGAAAGATCTAGCCGAGGTACACAGATCTAATACTTCATACTTCTACCTGCTAATCAGTAAGACATTTGTGGGAACAGGAAAATCTCATTGCAAAAAGAGGCAGAATGGCCCAAAGCAGGATGTACTGATGTTTGCAAATGCAGAGGAAGTGTTCTTCTATAAGAAGGCAATTCTGAAGTTCAGTTACTCCATACAGGAGGAGAAGGACACTTGTCTGGGAGGCAGATGGTCGTTTGATGATATATTGATGAAGCCCTTGTGTGAATTTCAGATGACAAAATGAGTGAAATAGAAGAATGGCAAGACCATCTATGTATCTAGTCCATTTCCCACATACAGCGATGACTTGTTTGTATGCAATTACCAGGAAACCCAGAGGGGAGATACTCAAACACACATTAGTTTATTCAGATTGAAGTCCTCTACAGAAGTAGTGTTCTGTTCCATGTGACTGTGACACATTTACAAAACGCTCTAAATTTTTTTTGATCAAACGATGAATGGTTGATTAAAAACTTCCAATAAAAAATAACACAGAATATTAATTTTAAGTACTTAATAAGAACTATTTTGTTATTTAAAAATTACAGACTTTCTTATGTTTCCTTTTGATTCTGCTGTATTTTGCTTGACAGATTCTCAGCTGCAGCATACATATATTTATAATCACTATTTTTTGGTAATTGCTCTTCTATTACTGTATAATACCCCCTTTCACTTCTGGTAATTGTATTTTCTCTGGGGCCCACTTTATATTGTATTAACACAACTGCTCTTGCTTTATTTTGTTCAGTCTCTCATGATATATATGTCTCTTTTTACTCACCTGTATTGTCGTATGTTGAATGAGTTTCTGTGGGAAATGTACAGCTGAGTTATGCTCTTAAACCCCTTCTCCAGGACCTGTCTTTTAAACAGTTTTCTTGTCATGATTTATACCTATTTAAAGTATACAACTCAATGTGTTTTCTCTAAATTTGCAGAAAAATGGAATCATCACTGCAGCTAATTTGAGCATAGTTCATCACATCAGAAAGAAATCCTATATCCCTTATCTCCCTTCTCCATATTCCTTTTTCCTGCCTCTATCCCTAAGTGACCACCCATTGACTTTATCTCTATGGCTTACATCTTCTGGGCATAGAAATGAACAGAATCCCACAATATATAGTCTTTTATGACCAGCTTCTCCCACTCACCACAGTGTTTTCAGGGTTCATACTTTTTGTACTCAAGCATTAGAAGTTAGAAAGACTCCCCAGTAGGCAGATAGATAGGGAGAGGGGCCTTGGTTAAGTAATAAAAATGGCAAACTTCCAAGATGCTTGGTTTCTCCTTCACCCTTCTGACCTAAGACAAAAACCTCTTGGCTTAAAACAAAGGCCTTGTAGGCTGCTTTTCTCCCACCGTAGATTCTGTGCTTATGACAGCCAAACAAGTCAAGGCCACATCAGGATGTGTTATACAACAGCTATGGACCTGTCAATTATCCCATCTTTCTTCAAACTGACTGTGGTGAAAGAAAAGGCCTCTAAAGGCCATTAGGAGACTTGAAAACATCCAGCCCTCGGGAAGAGGCTGGATTCTTTGCCTTCCTGGGACCCACCTGCTTTGCAGAGGGTCTGTTTTCTGTGTAGCTGTTGCATGTGTGTGCTTCCTCACCTGTAACAAAAGCCTGACTTCAGTTGCTGATTCTGTCTGCTCCTGTTCACTGTGCTTGTGATTTCTCTGCTGCTACCTGTTGTTCTTGAGATTTTTTTACCCCCGAGCTTTGTAACATATCATGTTATCTTAAACAACCGTAAATGTGGCCTTGTTGGAGGAAGTATGTCACCTCCCCCTTTGTTAGAGTCTAGCCATTTGACTGGGTTCATTTTCTCTGCCCGTTCAAGAAGTGAAAGGCAGGAAAGGTCTTGACAGGTAGCAGCAGAGCACTGCTGAGCACAGCAGTGGGAGCAGACAGGACCAGCAGTTGAAGAGAGACACAAAGAGAAAGAGACCTGCAAAGCAGGGGGCACTCAGGAGCCCCCCAATACAGCCTCCTCTCCAGTCCCTGAAGACTCTTCCTCCCCTAATTTAGGGTTGTTCAGTTTGAAGAGTGATGGAATGGAGGCTTGGCCCCCAACTGTTGTGTGACGTGTCCTGACCTAGCCTAGAACCTGTTGAACTAGTTCATGAACATGCCTAATACTTTTGTCTCAGGTCAGGAGGGTGAGGAAAAAGCCAGTCATCTTGGAAGTTCCCCATTTTTATTACCTAGCCCCAGTCCCTTTCCTTGTTTGTCTGTCTGCCAGGGGATCTGATTCCTGGTCCCTCTTCCCCCTCCCTCTCAGATGTCACCCTAACTACTGTAGGGATTTGGGGATGCTGACTACTCTTCACTGTTTTGAGCTAACAAAAGGATTGACGAGGGAGGGGCAGCAGTCAGACTGCCTTAGGGAGGGATTGATCTAAGGGGCTAAGGTAATGCTTAGGTGATGTCAAAGATTCAGAACATAATAGCCATTTGATGGTAGAGGTATTTTAGGAGTGTGCTATACAATTGAGTTGAGGTAGCACCTGTAACATACAACAAGTGAAACTATCTGTAGTACTATAATTCTACTGAAAATGGAAGTTAGAAAATAGTTGGAGCAGCTTTGCCCTTATAAGAGGAGGAGAATAGTCAAGAAAACCATTTAAAGAATCCTTGGCAGGCTTTGTCATAGGAATCAATGAGATTGATATTTTCTGCTGTTATCATGGTCTACCATAAGACGTAGATTGTGGATGAGGCACTTGACCTGCTCAAGAGTTTAAGGAACTTTTCATCAGCCAAATTAAGCTCAGAAGTCAGTCACTGAGTTTCTTTTAGTGTATCCTTATGATGAAGAGACAAAGTTAATGAGGGAAAAATTTCCACATTATAATTAACCTAAGTCCTATTTAGTATGGTGAAACATAGTTGTGTAGCTGGCCAGACAGTGTACCAGAACCTTCATATTAGAATCCTGTAGAAGGATAACATCAGAGAAATTCTCCTCTCTATGTCTCAATTGATTTAAGTCACATTTGACAGATCAAACTGTAACTGGGCAAATCAGCTGTTTGTTACGTTAGACTCCTGCATAAGGAGTGAACACTTGGAAACTTTGTAAGAGAAGCAGTTAAAGTAAACTTCCCATTGTCATTAATAGATGCAGTGGACACCTCTGTTCATGTACTAGGTGTGATGCCCAGTGGAGGTCGACAGTGTGAACCCCACCTGAGGGAAATCCAGATGCCAGTTAGAGTCACAGCCAGACAGCGCAGGCAGCTAACTGGTAATCTAAAAGAGAAGTTTCTTTCTTTCTTTCTTTTTTTTTTTTTTTTTTTAGGATTGTGTCACAATGTCCCAGAGGCATCACTTGGGTGTCCCGAATAGTTTTTCAAACCTGAGTTTGACAACAGGACATGTGGCAATCTCCTTTAATCACTGACCATGAACAGTCAGAGTGCATTCTGGTTAGAGTCCATTCAGTGATATAGCCAAGGCCTCCCAAGACAAGAGAATAGGTCACTCCCCACAGTTACAGGACAGTTTGAAAGATGTTGTACAGTTCCTTGGGACTTAGTTGACCTTATAGGATAAGGGCAAAGCTATCCTCTCTTCCAATTCCACTGACCACATCAGTGTCGTCATCTCCAAGTGTGGTTATTGAACACCCAGAAGGTCAGTTATAGTAGTCTGTTATTATTATTTTTTAATCCAAAAACAATGCCATTTTTTTAAAAAAAAAAAAAGATTTATTTATTTATTATGTGTACAGTGTTCTGTCTGCATGTGTGTCTGCAGGCCAGAAGAGGGCACTAGATCTCTTTATGAATGGTTGTGAGTCACCATGTGGCTGCTGGGAATTGAACTCTGGACCTCTGGAAGAGCAGCCAGTGCTCTTTACTGCTGAGCCATCTCTCCAGCCCTCAGCTTGTTATTTTTAATTAATCTGTAATATTATGGTGAAGTTTGACCAGAAAATAAAGTGTGGTCATTGGACCAACAGGTATTCCTGTCACTCTGGAGCTGTTCCATCTTAAACCCACTAACTTGGGTTTAACTGAGGTCTCCAGATGGTAAGATATCTGGGAAGTGAGGCTTACACAGTCAGTTTATCAGGAGAATATAAGTTCAATAGAAATTGTTCTCTTTCGATGACCGGCCACACTAGTGGAAGCCCAGGAACTGTGGACTGGTGGCTCTGGAGCCCCCATGGGACTGGCCCAGGCCCTCTGGATACGGAAGATGGTGTTTGGCTCAAATTGTTTGGGGGGCACCCAGGCAGGGAGATTGGAATCTGTCCCTGGTCTAAGGCCAGGTTTCTGGGAATCCGGTGCCTGAGGTGTGGTACCTTGCACAGCCTTGGTGCAGTGGGAAGGGGCTTGGACCTGCCTAGGCTCAGTGTGCTGGGCTCTGCTGACTCCCCATGGGAGACCTCGATTTGGGGGATGTGGGGATGCAGAGTGGCTAGGGAAAGAGGGCTGGGAGTGGGAGGGGGGGTTGTGGATGGTATGTGGAGTAAGAAAATTTCTTAATAAAGAAAAATGAAAAAAAAAAAAGAATATATCAAATGTGAAAAAAGAGAAATTGTTCTCTTTCTAGAATTGAGTTAAAGTTCATGAAAAGAAATCAAATGCCTAATTAATTAATTCCTATATTAATTTTTTCAGTCTCAAATTACATTTTTAATTTCAAATATAAGTAAAATTGAAAGGAAGTCTATAATCCTTTGTCCTTACTACAACCTGTATTGTTGATATAAATTTTTTTGACCATTTGAAAACGTGCTTCTTAATTGTTCTTTGCAATATTTAATTATGGTTTAAAATGTTATTTTTTATATTACAAATGCAAAGTACATTAATTATAATAGGTTTTGAAATAGAAGAAAAGAAATCCATCTCTACTTTTATCATTTTCTTCCTCCTTATGTTGAAAAACCATTGGATGTCCTCACATGGGGGCGCATATACATAGCATTTTGCAATCTACTTTGTCCCATCCGTTCCCATGTTTTAAATACACACTCTGCATTGATGGTTAGCGCATAGACAACTTCATTTTCCCCCTACCGCCATGTAAATAATATGTGAGTACCCTAGAAGACTCTTTAGCAAATGCAGAGTTGTTTTTCCTTAGAACAGATTTCTAGCTTATGGACAGTTCCTACCCTTTAGTTGACTTTAAATCACTGTGCCTTGAGTGTAACCCAGAAGGAAGCATCTCCAGCCAATGTGCACAGACACAGCAGAAACAGAAGCTAAATGCAGACATAGGTTATGTACTCACCTTTCCCTTGGTGCCCATCTTCCTTAGGCAGCTTGTTTTGGAAGTGTCTTTCTGACTGGCCTTTCACCTCTACCCAGAATGCTCTGTGTCCTGTACTGAGGACTCTGAATAAATAATAGCAATCCTGCTGGCTGGTTGTCCAATCACAGCCCTGCCTGACTCCTGCTGTGACATTTGTACTGTCGTAGTTCATCTACAAACTCATCGATTCCAACTGGCACCAAGACTTTTTTAAAAATTAATTCTTTTTCTTATCTTTTATTACAATATATTAAGTAGAGAAAAGTGCATTAGTTTTATAAGGCTGAGTTACAAATAACTACTAAATAAAGGGCATTTTAATTGCTATGGAACTTTCTTCTCTTTTACACCCTGATAATTTCCTTGCACATTTGTGGTTTTGCTACATATTTGTGCTTTCCTTTTTAGTAGTTTAATGTGCTAATAGGTTTGTATGAATAGACTCATCGTGTGTATGCCCTTCCATGGGTTTTCCTCAGCTGTGTTTGTTGATCACTCACAGTGACAGGATATGGAAATACATGCTTAGTTTCCAGACTTAAATTTGATCCTATGGTGGTACATAAGGATACATAATTTTTTATGATCTTTGTTTCCCTGACCATCATTGAGGATAAACAGTTTGATGTTCTGGAGTCAGATCACGGTGCTTACTAATTAATTAATGAGAGATTTGTAAAGATCATTGTCATGCAGTTTTCATTTCTTATAGTACTTTTTGCTTTACATATTTAAAATTGTTTATTACATTTATTTAGTTTGTGTATGTATGTGTGTGTTGGCTGAAATGGTCATGACTGGGGGCAATTGCCTTTACTTGTTGAACCCTCTCACTGACCCTGTTTTACATATTTTACATTTGGATCTGTGAAACTTCTGTGTTTTAAAAGTTTACAACATTTTTTGCCATTTTTCCTTGTCAGTGTGGTTCTCTTTCGCTGTGTTGGTCTTTCCTGTGTTCTCATAGTATTCACTAGTTCCCTTGACTTCAGCAGTTTATTATTCAATTCGGTTATTTTTATTCAACTTTTAAAGATATAGTGCATGTTCTCTATTCCGCTTTCTTACTACCTATCCTTTAATTCATAATTCATTGGGTTTCATTTTTATCTATGTAGATGTAACCAACCGTCTTATTAAATAGGAAACACAGAACCAATGTAAAGAAGAAAGCCAAGAGGTCAGAGCTCAGAGCTAAAACCTTACTCTTCCTCCTGTGGTAGTCCTACCTCTCAGAAAAAAGAGACCTACTTCCTGTGTGTTTGTCTTGATATAGTCTTTCTGTTCTGCCTTCTCATTGGTTGTAAACCCAAATACGTGACTGCCTCGTCACTGCCTGTATGTACAGCCCTCCAGGTCTTAAAGGCATGTGTCTCCAATGCTGGCTGTATCTTTGAACACACAGAGACTTACCTAGCTCTGCCTGCTAAGTGCTGGGATTAAAGGCGTGCGCCACCACCACCCAGCATGATTCAGGATTTTAAATTCTGGAAATTGTTGACGGTTTTTTGAATTCAGCTGTCCATTCTTCTTGGCTGTGTATATATGGCTTCATCTCAGCATCCCCTTCTTCTCCACATCCCTCTATTAAATGCCA